GCGACGATACTGATAATTTAAATATTTAAATAAATTGAGAGTGATAATTTAAATATTTAAATAAATAAATAAATATAAAAAAATAAATTGATTAAAAATAAATACATGCGAGCGGGCGCTTTTCGAAAAGCGTTTATTGGCCAGCGAAAGGTATCTTCTCTTTTTTTTTCACGCGGAATTCTTTTATATATAATATATATATGAAAGATAAATATAATTTATATATATATATATATATATTATTAATTTGAATATATTATTAGTTTGATATATGAATATATATTATTAGTTTGAATATTGTATATAATATTCTGTCATATATAACATTCTTATATGTGACATTCGCGCGCCGCATGTATTTGCGATTTGATTGTCCGTACGACGAAAATATATACGAGTTTAATTGCGCGACGTAACGTATAGGTCAACATGAGCAGAGATCCACTTCCTGCCACCTCGTATTCCGCGCGTTCCGCGCGCGCACGCTTCATTACAAACCAGAAGTTCGCTATACACCATAACTGTCTGTTCGCCCGGTATCCCCGCTGGCCCCTCCTCTCTAATGTTGCTTCGTTCGACATCACAAATACTACAAAGGGATCCTCGTCAAGGGCGTTGCTTCGGAACAATTGTTATGTTAATGTACGACCGAAATATCCCTATCGATTCCTAACTGTACCGCTTTCAGAATTTGGGCATCATTTGTGATGCAGGTCACGCGCGATACGCCGCGCGTATTGTTATAAAATACAGTAAAAGAAATTCAGGATCGCATCCCCACAGCTCACGGCGGAAATGTCGATCGGGGAGTTCGAGTCCATTCCGGAGAAGCCTAGATTTGATTGATCAGTTTCACTCACAATCGGTTACACGGGGAGCAATCTCTCGTACAAAAGCGTATTCTCTTTGAGCGTTAGAAGGGTGATCGAGTTGCTCGGGAAAAGAAAATGTTGCGGTGCAAGATGGCGCGCGAGCAAGATGGCGGGTGTCCGACGCGAAACGGCAGGTCGGATCGTTAAAACCGCGAAAACGTCGTTATCCACTTCGTTAAATTCATTCGCCTTGTCAACGTGCGCATTACGCGCGCTTGATGTCTGCCTCGCACGTTGTTCATTACAATGATCCGAGCCGAACGTGATACAACGTAAATGAGATCCGGCCGTTAACTACTCTCGTAACGGTATGCGTTAGCGATATCGACGCGTTACTCAATTCCTGTTCGGGCTTCAAGCACGGATGTTATAGTAAACCGTTTTAACGCAATAGTCTGGCCGAATATTGACGAAAACTACTTAAATCATATCGACGCGCTGCAACGCGAATTCTGTGTTGCATACGTTTTCAGGTATAATCGGAAGTTGAAGCGCGCCGTGCCATGAAGATATTGGCTGGGTCCGATGGCTGATCGATACGTCAAATTGTTTGCGTAAATGCATAAAAATAATGCGAAATCGTACAGCGTGACTATCGCGGCGCGGCGCGGCGCGGCGCGGCGTTCCGACAACGCGCGAGAATGAGCGCGCAACGCTGCGTCGGAGTGTCAATATTGTTTTAATTATCTGCGCTGACGGGAAAAATATAAAAGAGAATACAACGGTATCCGGCACTTACTCGCGCGCGGCCGGTGATAATATTGAATGAAGCGCTCGCGCGGAATTTGCAAAGATCGATATCTCCGGCCGGCCGGCGGCGCCGGCGGAGGCGATCGTAATTTTCGGGAAAAAAGTTATTTTCCGAATCTCGCTGGCGCTGGCTGGATACCGGCGAGACGCGAAGATTTGATTTCCAATTCTCAGTGTGACGTTACCTCGAAGCCATAAAATGCATGGTGCGAGCGGGCAACGGCAAACTTCGCAAATAGTTCCGGACAGTATGCAGGTATGCAGTCTCTGCACTTACGCGCTCGCACACACGCCGCGAAGTGCTACGTACTTGCGCAATCGAATGACAAGTCGCAAACGAGTTTTGAATTGAATATTTCATCGGCCGACTTCGACGGGCTACCCCGACTACGCAACTTCCTCGTCTCTCGACAAAAGAGCCGGTATCGCGCACGTACAAACTGTGATTCGCTCGATTCTTCGCCGTCGAGAGTTTCGAGTCTCGCGACACGACGCGACAGGGCAGGACGCATCATGACACAGGACGATGCGACTCGGCTGGACTTGACTCGGCTCGCCTCTGAATCGACGTGACCATCCCACAACACAAATTATTCTCCCTGCTTGTCACATCGTTTACATCGGCCGATCGTTAGTGCGGCGAGTGGCTTGTATCAACCATATTTATTCACTTATGCATCCACGCTCGTGCACGCTCGAATAAACATACATTGTGTGTGTGTGTTTGTGTGTCGCGCACACAGCAAGATATCGACCGGCTCGTTTATCAAGCAAACCGTAACAATTATGTCCCTAATTCGATATTTCGGCGAACGCGGTCTTTCGCGGAGGAAATTTCATTGCGAGCGTCGTGTTCGATCCTATCGAGTGTCTATACGGCGAGAAAGACGTGTAAAAATATACGACGAACGGCGGAAAAGTATTTCTCTTATCTCCGCGGCAAGTAAAAACCATTCGAGACTTTCCCATATTTACAGACAGAGTTACGACAACTTTAATGCGATGAAACCGCGGCGACCGCGGCGGTGATGCTAGTGGTGGCAACGGCGGTTTTTCCAAAATCCTTGTGATGAAATTGCATTGCATTACCGTAAGTGCGGCTTTCGAGAAGCGATCTTGGCGATGAACGGATTAGACTTTCATGAGGATTTGAGAACAGGCAGCCGTACATGTTACTCCAAACAACTTAGTATAATGCGAACGCTATTACGCGCGCGCGCGCGCAAGAGAGAGAGAGAGAGAGACAGAGGCGAGTTACGCAGTGCCGTGCTCCCGTCGCGTGCGAAAATGACTTTTCTGCGAATCTAAAAATCGATAAGACGAGAACGAGCAGAAAAGTCAACTGAACGCTGCACATCCTCATGCACTTCCGTATCGTATTTTTGGTGCCCCTTTATAGTCGTACCTTATATTTTACGTATACATGTATATAATACTTTTATTTACTTTACGTACACTTTAATATACCCTCCGCGCACAGAGGGAATTGTTTGACGTCCCAAGTTAATAACGGTACCACGGTACAAAGAGGTCGAACGACATTACGACGTTCGAAATGTAAGAAGGCGCGTTTCGAGCGCGCAACTCTGCGACTTTTTTCCTCCGCCATGTTCGTCGACGAGACTCCCGAAATTGTACTTGCATGAAGGTCCCGGGTATGTACGGCTGAATACAGACGGACGACACGACTCTTTAAAGCCTAATCGGTTCGACCATCGAAATCCGAGCGTTGCTACGACGGACGGACGGACTGCCGCGCGTCGCTTTTCGCCGGCTTCCCCTCGGCGAAGAGGTCAGCTTGTAAATTTGTGCGGCGAATAAATGCCCGGAATCGGTCGAGAGCGATCGGGTGAAATGGACGTTTGAATTGATCCTCGACGAAAGACCGAGGATCAATTCAATTCTCCTCTTGAGTTTCGTGCTGTAATCGCGCCGGACAAAGAATACGAAAAGATCCTCCGATTAACCGTGGATTGTACCGACGTTGCAAAAAACGATCTCGACGAGAGAGTCTCATGGACGTCGTGGGCGTGATGGTGGTGATGCCGACGGAGAAATGGAACGGACGGCGCAATTAAAATTTCCGCGAACGCAAAGTGCGCGAACGCAAGAATGAGGAAAAAGAAAGGAGAGGAAAGTAAGAGCGAAAGAATAAGGGAAAACTAGCAATCTCCTAATCCTCTTAGCGACAATGTTCGCTGCTTTGCTTTAATTATGCGAAAAAAAAAACACTGTATTTCCTCTCTTTTCTCTCCCCGCCCCTCTCTCTCTCTCTCTCTCTCTCTCTCTCTCTCTTTCTCCTTATTATACGTCAGCAGCGAAACTTCGCCATCACGGGCGCCTTCCACGTGCGGTTTTCGCGCGAGCGCGCGATGCTTTACATGAGAGGAAGAAAAAAAAGTCTAATCACCGTAGATCGCGGCACGTCGTAAAATTCTACAGGGCGCCGAAACTTGGACGCCCTGGGCTTGCTCGGGTTCGGCACACGGAAAAGTCCGACCAACTTTCGCACCAGACGAATCACTCTTACAGCTTCTGCAGTTTCCCGACGACCCGGCGCGGCGGCGGCGGCGGCCGTGTCGTAGTGATCAACTTTAGGGAGCAGATAATTAAGCCTCGAACTTCCTCTCTCTCTCTCTTTCTTCACGCGCGAGCACGAGCGCGCGATTCCGAATCCCTGCGCGGCGTTTATTATACTACAACGGTATCGCGGAATTATCTCGCGGATTCGCGTATTATTCGCGCGTCGATACGTTCGTCCAGCTCGTCGATTCCCCGCTGCGCGCGTTCGTACGGCCGGCGCAGGTTTAATTAGAGCAGGTTAGATTGGAGAATTAATTCTCTCCTCTCCCGTGCACGCCTCTCACCGCCGGAGACTCGTAAGTGCAAACGTAAGAACGCTTGGTTCGCGCGCGTATCCTGTCGCGATGGAAGTTGCTGAAGTTAACTATAATATTTCGCCACTGTAGCGAGCGTTGCGTGTTACGCGTTCTGGAAAAAGCCCGACTCTGTCGTTGACTCGCTATGAATTGCGGTTGATTAATATTAATATCGGCACCTGAACACAACAGCAAGTTGATCATTTTTATCGATGGATTAATCCGTTTCCTCGAACAAATAGCTATCGGAAACCGAAGTACTCTCAATCACGGGGGAAACATCGAGGGACGAGAAAGGGTTAAGGGAGAACTCGTCGAGACTCGTGGCTGTTCGTTCGAACGACGTCACTCGTTCTCGACAGCTGCGGTAAAAAATAAAAATAACTGTAGTGTCTCTTTCGTGGATGGATACATATATGTATGTATATATATATATATATATATTTCTCTCTCTCGATTGCTGCACGTCTCGTCTCCTCGTGTCGTGTATATAACGCACCTTGCAGTTGAGTGATATTCCTGGTGATTTTGTGGCCGTTAACAAGCTGCTCGCGCAGGTGGGATCTGTCGCGATGCCGCTGATAATTGGCGATAACGATCGTGATCGTCGCCAGAACGAAGAGGAACCTCGACCCCCACGCTTGTCCCGTCATCGCCCGTCACCGTGTCTCGCATCCCCCGTAGTTTTTGCGAATGCAGGCAGTCAGGCAATCGTCTCGACGTTGTTGCTACAGCGCGCCTCGCGAGCGAGGGGGGGATCGCCGTTCTCCGTGTTCTGAAATCCAAACATGGCTGAAGGATACGGATGTCCTCATGAAGCCGCGCGGACGTTCCCCCCCACGAACACGTTGACTATAGTCACACGTATATGCATACGTAGGTACACAAGCAAGCATAGTGCACGCACAGTCGGAGCATTGATAAATGAAGCTACGAGCGCATTTTCGTGCCGTGTAATCGGGGAGACAAATAAAGCGGTGCGAATTGAAAACGAGCAGGGACCGGTAATCAAGGGAACCCTCCCGAATAAGAGAGAAAGAGAGAGAGAGAGAGAGAGAGAGCCTCGTTTTGCTTCTTTTGTTTTTGTTGTATATTAGTGCAATGCAAGATCGCGTCCCGCGAAACGGTTTCCCCGTTTATTCGATCGCGTTACATCGAGGGTAAGTGTCGCAGAGTATTTCTCGAAATTGACAATGTCGTCGAAATGGAATAGGTGTTTCTCGCGTTCCGCGGAACAATCAGCCGCGACTCTCGAGTATATTGTGCATTTATCTTTCTCGCTGGAAGCGAGACGAAGGTCACGGAGGAGCTCGGAATCCGCCGAGTTATTTGGCCGGTCGGTTTGATGCCGCAGTGCGTACGTTGTTCTATATCGCTTTTGTTCATGTATATGCATCGCGCGCAAGCGAAGCGCGCGAATAAACAAAAACAAAAGTCGTCGGTGTCACGCCGCAGAAGCAAAAATCCGAATGCGCCGGAAACAGGTGCGAGAATTTAGTTGTCGCGTGAGAAATTTATTATTTTATTATCCTGACGTGTACCCGCGAGAAAAAATGGAAGAGAGAGAGAGAGAGAGAGAGAGAGAGAGAGAGAGTGGAGTAGAGTAAAGAGTAGTCTTATTCTCCCTTGACTCTTCTTTCTTCTCCCGGTCTATATTTAAAGGAGAGGAGTGTACAAGAAAACGGGAAGAAAAGATCGCGTAGAAAACGCAATTTCGTCTTCGGTCTTTTCATAAGTTCCGGAAGCGGAGCAGAGCAGGCGACCAACTTCGCGCAAACTTCGCCTATATTGTTTTCGGAGGCGTCTGCGCGTCTAATGGAATCGATGTTACGGACCTCGACTCGTTAGATTCCGCGGGCGGAATATCGGCACACTCTCCTGCCCGTTTGGGTCGTGGAACACAATTATTAAAAAAGTATGCTGGGTGGGAGAAGGGCTCTCTCTCTCTCTGTCTCTCTCTCTCTCTCTCTCCCGGGGAAAGAAAAGGTAAAGAGAAGCAGAGATAAAGATTAAGAGAGAGCGACAACGAGAAGAAGCTGGCTCAGGAAGAAATACGAGGTGGCGAGAAGACGAAAGCAACGTCACTTTGTGCAATTGTAAAGGGACGCAGCAATGCGACCGTGCTTATGAGAAATATATATATATATATACATATAGATAGACATAGAGATAGACGGAGAGGGAGAGAGAGAGAGAGAGCGAGAGAGAGAGAGAGACTGACTGAATTTTTGCAGTTTTCTCGGAAATGCAACCAGATATAGCCACTCGCGGTCGTAGAGCAAAAACCGCGATTTCGCCGAGAAAGAGAGAACGTGTGGGCCACTGGGGGGCTGAGAGATAGAGAAAGAGTGCGAGGGAGGGGGGAGGGGAAGAGGGGCGCCTTCGCGGTTTTCGTCCGGAAATATACGCGCACGGTGGCGGCCCAGCCGGGCGTCGTTAGGCGGCTGGATTATTGTGTCCGAGTAACAAAGTAAATGGATTTGCAATGCAAACCTTTGCCATTCTTGCGCGAACGATATTTCTACGACGATGGGCGCTTTTCTATGAGCATGAACACACGCGCGCTCTTTAAACTCTCGCGCACGATCGTGCGCATTCATCTCGGTCACGGCGGATACCGCGCTCCCTTTTAATTGCCATTCGAATCGATCGTTTTTTATCGTGTTTGCTCCGCAATATCTCTCGCGCTCGAGCTCGGATATTGCTAAGTTTACGAAACTACGATTCAAAAAGCAGCAGCGACGGCGACAGCGGCGGCGGCGGCGACGGCGACGGCGGCGGCACGCAACGATACCTCGCCGCGTGTATTTCGCCGTGTTTTCGCGGGAAACAGCGTGCGATACGTTATTCCGTGCGACACGCGTGAAAACACACAAACGTGGGAATTTTTACGACGAATTTTGCATCGTTGCACTATTCGACGTTTGCATTCGCATGTTGCAATCGTTATCTTATATTTATATTACATCACCACGGTAGAGTAGCTCGGTGCACACAGTGGGAGAGGTAGAGCGAGAGATAGAATGATAGAGAGAGAGAGAGAGAGAGAGAGAGAGAGAGAGAGAGAGAGAGAGAGAGAGAGAGAGAGAGAGAGAGAGACGACCGATAAAATATTTGCGAATACACACGTACGTGTGAAATAATTTACACATGCGCGCAACATCTAGGAAAAATCGAGAGAGAGAGAGAGAGAGAGAGAGAGAGAGTAGGAGAGTGGCGCCGCAGGACGGTGCCAATGATAGTGGAATCGCAATACGCGCGACTCCCCAAGATTTTCTTCGGAGTAACGATACTACTTTTCGGCTTTGGGAACGACGCGCGGAATCCGTTACAACGCTGCAGGAAGCCGTTTCCCACCGATATTTATGACGCGACGAATCGCATGACCTACTGCTGAAATCGCAGCTGAAGTAGTTCACTGCTATCCCTATAAAGAGCATTTTCACGCGATCCGACGTTTCGCCTCTTTCCTTGGACGAAAAACTTTTTCGGAGCACATGCTTGCAATTATGCGTGTTCATTGGAGAGAAAAAATCGCACAAGGAAAAATCTTGAAATTTCCGCTTGCTTCCTCGCCCTTTCCTCCTTCTCTTTTTCTACTTTCCCCCCCTCCCCTCTCTCTCTCTCTCTCTCTCTCTCTCTCTCGGTCTTCTCGTTTCTATTCCTTTCCGCAAGTTGCTCATATTTTTAATTAAGTATAATTACTTCGTATAATTACTTGTATTTTTATGCAGATACTTGTATCACAATTATCAGTATCCTTTTCTCGGTAATTGACTCGGCATTTTTAATTCTTTCTAATTTACCGATGGATGAATCACGCTTTGAGATATTTACAAAATTAATTGGCTTTAAAACGAAGTTGACTGGCTTCAAATGAAATTAACAGACTTCAAAATGTCGCTTTACGACTCGCTCTGTATGAATTTAGATCTAACGTCTCTTAAACGTCTCGCAAATTGCAGTTAATAGGAGAACAACCGTCATCTCGTTATAATGATGCAGTTTGTACATTATGTTTGGAGGAGGTTCATATCGTGAACATCGCTGACGCCGCGACACTTCCGCGTAAACACTTCCGCGTCCCAACACTTTGTGACGCGTAACGTCATATACAACATGTCGCGATGTCGCTATGTTTAACAATGAGGCTGCTGGTCGGCACAAAGATCGCGGTGCTATCGCGGTGGAGTTAATGACACAATTTAGACTAAAACGCACCGATTGTCAAAATAATACCGGCTCTTTGTCAAGAGAGCCGGGACGGCGGTGGGAGGGAGGAAGTCACGGGTAAAAGCTTCCGGCATGCAATGTAGGCCACATACCGCGCGTTAACTTTAGACTAAAGAGCGAAAATTTTTCCCGCAAATTAGTCGCCGTTCCACCTTGTAACGATAACATATATCTGGCGCTCTCTCTTGAGCTGAAAATTAATGAGGAGTAAAAACGATAATAAAGAACGCAGAGAACAAGGCGCATGACCAAGTTTCCGGCGTCACGAATGCCGCCGGAGAGGGGGAGCCCTCCCCTCCGCGGTGCGCGTAAAAAGCTTCGTTTTCATCCGTGAATTTACGTAAGTTTTTCATTCGACAGAGATATTCCTTCTTCGCAGTCGTTTTTGTCTGACAGATTCGATTCAGCGGCGCATACGCGCGCGCGCGACTGAACGGCAGGCGAACAGACACAATTTGCCTAATTGACGTACTCTTACGACGAACGAATCTTCAGCAATTCCGCGCGCCCCTCTTATTCTTTCTTCTCTTCCTGTTTGATTACGCGCGGATTAACGGCCGGCGAGACAGCGAGATAGTCAAATGTAAAATAACGTCCGGAGATTTGAAGCTCGAAAGGCCGGCGGTTGTTTCGCTCGTTTTATCGGCGTTCATTTTACATCCTCTCTTACGAGGCTCGCTTGGAGGGATTCAAGTTCTACAAGGACTCTCCAAGTAGCAAAAGGACTGTAGAAAACCTGGCTCCGCCGGCGCTCACGGGAATTCAACTCGCGGCACGTCTCAGAATCGATCGATCTTCCTCGCCGACTCGCTGCGATATCACGTTGTTGCAATCGGCTATCGATACCAGAAAGGGTGGCCCGATCAGAGGCCACGCAACAAACTTGCGGAGAGAGAAGGTCGTTGCGGGACCGGCGAGTACGGTAATTATTAAACTTCGTTCCGGACCCGCGCGAATATTTGCGGCAAGAATGTCGCGTCGTTTTCCCATCGCACGCGTAGAACTTTCACGTTTTCATATGGCGGCTCTTGAATAATCGCAATCACTCAGTGAGTTACAAAGGAGAGAGAACGGGCGAACGAGACGAGTTCGCAAAAGTGCATGCGAGCGTTGGCTCGTAATTTATCGATAAATCATCATCGACGTTATTCCGTGATAAAGAGAGAGAGAGAGAGAGAGAGAGAGAGAGAGAGAGAGAGAGAGAGAGAGAGAGAGAGAGAGAGCAGAAAACGAAAAAGAGGAGACAATAGAAAAAACAAGAGAATCGAATAGCGCAAATGCCGCGCGATCGATGACCGGCGGTCCTCCGAAACCCGGCGCGGAGAAGAGAGGATCAGTGACGGAAGAGCGGCGAAGCGGTATGAGAAATCCGCAGACGGAAGAGAATACGTTTACGTTCGGGTCGTATGTTAACTCCGCTCTCGCAACTGACAACTAATTGCTATATATGTGTCTAACGGCGGTCTGCAAATGTCGCTACTTTGCGAGCGCGCGCCCGTTCGACAAAAGAGCCACTTCACAGGCGTCCGTTTTATCATAAGG